GATCCACTACAGGCCAATAAAATATCATTCTCAAATAGATTTATAAATTCACAATTAATATATAAAGCCATAACATTAATATAAATTAGAAATAAAAGAGGCCCCAAAACACTCCCTTGTGGCACAACAAAGTTGTTGACAATATTATCTGAGATACATTCACCAATTGGTACTCTTTGCATTCTATTAATTAAGTAATCTTCAAACCATTGTAGTACTTTACCTCCAATACCATAACGTTCTAACTTTTTAGTTAGTAATTCCTTATTTATGTATCATTCTTACAAAGAAATATTAAAAAAAACTATTTTCCGTTACATGGCTATCAATATTGTAAGCATATGAGACAACAGCCCATGTGGACGAAGAACCTCGAATCACAATTGATACAATATGTAAATTTATTATGGTATTGTTTTTTTATAGTACAGCATGTTATACATTTCAGACCGTGTAGGTCCGTTAACAGCCTTAGCGGTAATAAAACACCTTGTAAATAATTCTTAAATAGGCATAGAAATACGGACCAACTCCTTGTTGCGACACACATCAAGGAACTGTAATTTTTATATTGTTAGTTGTTACACGTACCACATGTGGTGCTGTTCATTTTAATCCGGATCGCCGAGTGTATGTATTTTATTCAAAATTGCTAAATTCCGATTGTTTTGCATGGCATATTCCAGTTTTCCCTTTAAATGAAATAGTTCTGTTCATTGGCATTCTGCTGGTATAAGAATATGTTGCGTTATTGTTAGTTGAACACTAAATTTAAATTGCTAGTATTATGTTAGTTGTTCCAGAAAGTATCTCTATCCTAAATATATTATGTCAATACCACTTAGTTTTCATGAGTGCATCTTTATGTTTATGCTTTCCGTATCTACAATAACTGTTCTATAGGTATATGTATAGATATAAATAAATTTTGAAATTAAATTGTAATAAAAGTACATATAGCGCTATATAGAAAATAATGCGCCGAGATTGACAGTGGACTTGTATGTCGATTGAAGATATTGTTATCCTAGAACACCCATGATACCTCCAATATTTATCGTCCTAGTATAGTCTGTCAGTCCTAGTGGGTTTTCGAAAAAGTATTGAATCAAAGTTGTTGTTTTTGATGAGTTAATGGTTATAATTTTGCAATTATTTTATAAACTGCCAACAACTAAATGCATTTAATTTTAATCTTTAATATTTTAAAATTTATTATGGGAAACATTGATTCTGTACTGGTGAAACAGATTCCTCTAGTAGTAAGCTGAATTTTGCTCGATATTGGACTTTAGAATTATTTGGCATAAGATAAATTATAGATAAGAGACTTATTTTACTCCACACATTTTTTAAGGTCACTGCGATTTACTTTCTACTTAGCGAAACATGTTCAATAGATTGCTCTAAATTTTAAAAGCCTGAAAGGAGAGTGTTTTATTTCACTGTGGAGCAGGAAGATAGGATCTCATTTTTAAATTTTAATTGGACAGAATTATAGAGGAACAGATATATTAAAATACATAGAAAATATACCTACATCATTATTTTTTCGTATAATTAATTCTCATTCATCGTAAAAAAAATCGATCACATTATCAATTATAGGTATTGACACCTTTGCTTAAGCAAATTCTATACATATCTGTGTCTAACTACAAATTAAAATATATAGTGCGTTTTAGGAGGGTTGGGTTTAATTTTAGACACTTTGTTCTTACGAATTAAAGTAAAAAGAGAGTTTCTAGCTAAAATAATTTTAAAGTTACACATCACATTCAGAGGGATACATTATTTTCTCAATAAGCGTTGACATTTGTATGTAGGTTAATTGATTTAAATCATGTTAGTTCACAAGTTTTGTGGTCGAACGTTGTTCTAGCTTTTCTGGGACACCTTGTATGGATGTAACAGTTCGCTTCTCTATTAATATTTTGATGTAACTTTAAAGAGGTATTAAATTAATTTGTAGAAATGTTTATGTGTCTGGCATCCTTTAAGTGTTTCTATATCAATAAATTTTGTCTACTTGATAATAAATGTGTTTAATTTAAAATTCTAACTTATTTGTCAATATTTGAATGTCTTGATGTGTAGGGCGTTTTAAAAAATATGTGCTGCGATATTGAATTCCTAAGGATGCAAGACTTTTTATTATTTCTTTTCTTTTTTATTAAACAACTTGAAAAGAAAAGAATGATTTCTATTGCCGCAGTTTCCGTGTTTAGAGAAATAAATAAATAATTTTCTAGTCTATTATTATCGTATATTTTTACTTTAGTGTTAGTTAACAAAATTATTATAAATTATAAAAGTAAAGGTACTTTAAATATCTTAGTTGTTTTCAATAGAACGCACTGTTTTCGAAAAAAAATTCAAACCATTCTTGACTGTATGCACATAAAAATACATTATTTGATAATACACTCAAAATTTGACTTTTTTTGTAGTAATAAGTGATTTATTAATATCTTTAGAAAGGTAACATCACCCTTTAAATTACTTTTATTTGCTTTTATATGACATACATGAATTTATTTTATGTAAGGACATGCGAATGGTAATGGACTTGATGCGCGTCATCTGTATCCATAGGCTTATCCTAATTGCCTCCGGACAGTGGAAAATTTGGTAAAATCTATCGAGTCTACACGACCTCGATCTGTTTCCACGCTTGAGGTAGAGCGTAGAAGAGCAAATTTTGGAAGAAGTTGGGAAAAAAGTCTGGAATTACTGTTAGGCGGATTGAGGCGGTTGTAGTTCTTGGCCATCTTTTTGTTTGGAAAATCCTATGCAAGCAAGCAAGTTTATCGGCATAATCCAGAAGCACCCTTCCGAAAAATCAATTTTGCCATGAAACTATAAGAGTTAGGAAAAAAGTGAATGTACACTTTTTGTCAATAACAAACTGTTCTATCTAAAAACAGCATCATTTTTTATTTTCAGTAGTATTAACTTTTTTTACAATTTAATGAGTCTGAGTTTCCATGTCGTGCCAAATTTGGCTTAAATAGCCTTCTTCATTTAGAAATTATTTAAAAAATTTGAATTTTTTAAAAAATTTATATCGCCCTATATTTCGAAAATAAAGCGTCTGGAAAAAAATGTATACTTGATTTTTTCTTATTTTTTTATGAGGAATATCTCCTTAAAGTTTGTCGACTTAATCCTGAAATACCCTGTATGTTTTTCCTAAAAACTTATCTTAAATCAGTATAACGAGCGTTCAAATAAAAACGTGGTCAAGTTGGTTCTGAAAATTTGGACGTAGGGCGTAGCGTATAGCAAATGAACTTAAACGTCATCTGTCAAAGCGCTATATCGCCGCTATCAATTTGAATATTTTCGTTTTAAAAAGCGTTTAAAATGGTGTTTTCTCAAGAACAAAAAGTGTTTATCATTGAGTCCTACTTTAGACCTTGACGCAAGATTGATGGAATATGGAAGTATTCTATTGAGGAATGTTTCATAGAATTTCAAAATCAATTTCCCGGCGTTGTTGAGTACAAAATTTTTCAAAGTGCAGTTCAGCGTTGTGTTAATGTTTTTCGTGAAACGGGCAGTGTAACAAGAAAAGAAGGAAGCGGCCGACCTAAACAGAGGACTGAAGAATTAAAAGAAAATGTCCAACAAATAATGGAAAATGCGCCAAGAACTTCTGTACGTGTTTTATCACAAATGGTGGGAGTATCAGTCGGTACCTGCCACACAGTGTTAAAAAAAGATTTGCGTTTGTTCTCCTATCGTTTAACTTGTCAGCAAGAACTTCATGAAGTTGATTTTCCGCGACGGGCTGTATTTTGTGAATGGTTTTTAAACAACTACGGTGAACTTCATAATATCACCTTTTTTTCTGATGAAGCATGGTTTCATTTAAGTGGTTATGTAAGCTCACAGAATATGAGAATGTGATCTTCTGAAAAACCAGATAACTTTTTTGTCGAGGGCCCTCTACACGCTCAAAAAATTGGAGTTTGGTGTGCTCTCAATCGAAGGAGGATTTATGGACCTATTTTTTTAATGGTACTCTTACTGCGCAAAGGTATAGAGAAGAAATTATCGCTCCTTTTGTTAACCAGCTGGAAGAAAACGAAATTACAAACTTTTACTTTCAACAAGATGGCGCAAGGGCACATACGGCAGGCGAGACGATGAATATGTTGAGGGAAGTTTTCCAAAATCGACTAATAAGTCTCAATGCTGAACATGAATTTCCACCGAGGTCATGTGATATTACGCCGTGTGATTTCTTTTTGTGGCCTTACCTTAAAAACACTATTTTTGGACTGCCTATTCCTGATTTAAACCATCTGCAGGCTCGACTTATAGACAAGATTCGTGAAATTAACAATACCCCGAGCATCTTAGAAAATGTCTTTAATTCTTTGAGGAACAGGTGTGAAAAGTGCTTGGAACAAGGAGGGGGACACTTTCCGCAGCTCCTTTAATTGTTTGTTATTGTTATCACGATTATTCTTTAAAATAAAGTTATATAGTCATTAACGTTATTGAAACTGACAACTGCTATACAGCTCGTTGAGAAATGAGGTTAAGTTGGTCGCTATAAGCTACTCCCTACGTCCAATGTGTCAGAGCCAACTTCGACCACGTTTTTATTTGAACGCTCGTTATAATAGTATTTCTAAGAAATGTTGTACCACTGCTGTATTGATACTTCATAGACATGTGAGAAAGTGGTATTTGGATTATTTTGGGATAAGAAATCTCACCACAAGCATTAACACAAGTTTCTTTAAACACCGTGTTCAAAAAGTTTTTAAAGCTGTGGTGTTTAAAATTTCATAAATAACACCTTGTTCTATTTGCTAATTGCTGCACAATAAGGAATTTTAAAAACTAAATCATATCCGCGGTGTACCCACAGAGCACGATTGCAAAAAAAATCGTTTTATGGCCCAGTGGCCCGATCAAAGAAATCGTATCCCACATTGTTAACTTTAACGCAAGACTGGTATTGTAAAGAAATTTTTCCATTTCAGATATCAAATGCGGTCACCCAGCTGTTCCTGTGAACGCTCGAGTAACCCTGAGTTCACCGAGTCTGGTTCCCGGTACGATAGCCACCTATCAGTGCGACGAAGGCTACGAAACCTTCGGCAACACACAGACTTCCTGTTCGCCTTCTGGTCAATGGGCGGGAGAGCTGCCTTTTTGCGGTAAGTTTTGTTTTGTCAGGCCACTAGTGACCTAAAAACAAGCGCTTCGTACGTACAATGCATTAATCAGCAGGGTCAGGGTCATATGGAAGACGTAGTTGGTTATCGCCTCAGTCTGCGATTATTGTTTTGTATGTCGTCTCCAGTTTATTTGTCTGAAATAACCTTATTTTTCCGTACGATAATTTATGTTTAGTCTTTTTAAACCGACCAGTTTTAAATGATATGGATGGATCCTGATTATTGAGTTTAAATCAGTTTCATATACAGGGTGTCCGAATGGGCCAAACTTTACCACTAGATTCTACGACGAAAATTAATGCAGAAAAGTCATATACAATGTTGCTCATGACGGTTAGTCTTCGAGATACAGAATAAGAACTATTTTTAGGCAAGTGGCGGTACGCTACAATTACATTTAGTACCTGCCCCAATAAATATATGTTGCTTTCTGGGAATTTACGACCCATATAAATTATACTTTGAATTATTCGAGATTATCCCAAATAAATGTATTTAGCAAATGAGATTAGAATAAGTAGGCTGTAAAAATAAATTAATTGTTGTTTATTAGGGTACATAAGCACAAACCGAGTAGGTAATGACCCGGATAAGTGTTAATTAGGATAAGGTAATAAAAGTAGGTACCTGGGGACAAGAACAAAAACCGAAAACTTTTCGAAGCACGAAGGAGAAATCTTGAAGCCTAGTTCCTGCTCGGTTGTGTCTCGTGTTACCAGCGAAATTAGTAGAATAAATTTTTCCCTGCTACTTAGAATTTTTCTCCTCACTTGATGACCAAACATATCTCGGACATACGTTAAGGGATTTTTTTCTAATTCGATATGAGGAGTTTTAACGGGGATCTACATCATTTGCTGCGATTTCACGTCAATACAAAAAAAAAAACAGTGGCGTACAAACTATATTTTCGAGGCCCTTTTCTAACAAATAAATGTTATGCCACTGCTTGAATCAGAAATAAATAACATTTTTCAAATGTTCAATGATTTTTTAGTATAAAATGTATACTGGCACCATTTTGAAGAGTTTGAATCGGTTAAGTCCATTTTCTAAAAAAGTTGCTAGAGTACTGAAAAATGATTTAGCAATTAAATTAATATACTGGTTTGATTTATTTTTATGCTGATTAAGTATTAATTAGATAAACAAAATAAACATCAGCAAGACTTTTCCATTGAATATGCTTGAACGTGCCAAATTTTCTACTCACGATAATAAATAGTATTTATGTTAATTTGAAAAAAAATAACGGCAAAACATTCACGTTCTTTATATGAATAAAGTTCTAAAAATTGCTTTAAGGTGTGAGAAAATCTATTGTCATATCCATAGCTAGATATAATTTTTGATATGGTAAAATATGTATTTAAATACTATTAATAGAGAGTAGCATATCGAAAGTATGTCTTCATCTCTCAAATTTTCGTCGAAGCTATTTGTGTGCATCATACAACCGTGCCCTATAGATTTTAGCCTAATAATATACAAATAATTGATATTTATATTTGACAAAAGTTTGTCAAGTGACTTTCTCGTCTGGAGCTAGAATTCGAGATGCTAGGTATGTCACATTAAGATCTAAACTGATTTGGTTTCTATTTGTTTAAATATACAGTACATAACTAAAGCATTTGGTTAAACTTTAATGGCGGACTTTATCAATAAATAAAAAGCGTTATAAAAATATGTTTCTTGAAATGTCTCGTCTTGAGATACGGGGTGTTAGAGTTCAAGAAAAGAAATCGATCACAAAAAAATGGTTCAAGTGGTTAACAAAAATCTAAATGGTGATTTTTTAATAATTCAATTCCGGAACAAAGTTTTATAAGACATATGTTCAAGATAACGAGAACAAGATTTTAGATTAAAAACTACAGATTGTCATTAAATCAAAACAAATTTAAGTACTCTTCAAAAGCCTTTGAAGGCCTGGATTTTTAAGGAATTAATGGAGCTATCATCCTGTTTCCCCTTAAAAACCTTTGATTTGGAACATTTTTTTTATATAACGAGTGGTTTCTCAGATATTAATCCATTAAGGTCTCTGATGGGGTTATTACTATGCTTATGATGTTAAATCAAAAAGGGGGAACTGAAAGATGTAGGCAACTAAAATTGAATTAAGGATAACAGAAACCGGAAAACATTCTTAGATAGAAGAAATTGCAATGACCCCATGGGTTGGTTGTGTCTATTTTGTTATTAAAATAAATACCAAACATTTTAGATGGTACAAAAACTTTCAATAAACTGTTTTCAGTGAGTAGTAATATATTCCTGAACAACAAATAACAATGATCTCTGGATTATTACATATTCAACTAGAAATAACAATAGACTATATGTCACGTCCCTTTCTTATACGAGTCCAGCTATTTATAGAATTAAATTTATTATTGTAACTGTAACCTCATCAAATCAACGTCAATATAGAATAGGCATTTAAAAACATTATTTTTGCTCTCGCAATCTGCAAACAACGACAATAATTATTGAATTTCATATTCTAAATATGTTTGTGAAACCAACATTATTTTGAAAGTACATTTCAAAAGGAAGTGTTACAATAAACCGTAGATGGTCTGTGGTGTTTGCACAAGCGATTAAGTTTAAATAATTCACGATGGTTTGCAATATGTTACGTGTTGAATTTTCAGTACCTTCGGGTGTGTCGACTAAAGTGTAACACATTTGGCGTCCTTACGTCATTTAATATTCTCAAATATTTAAATTTCGGTTTATTTTTGGTGTAGTAAAAAAATCAGTCACATCGGAAGCATACTGTAAACAGGGTGTGTCAGTGAAACTATTATTTCATAATATAAGTACGTATATAAACAATATTCACTGAAACAAACTCTTCACTAGTTCTAAATTAAATTATATAAAGCCATTGCATTTGTTTGGTAAATTTGTCTGTTATACTTTATAAACTTTTAGTACTATAAAATATTTCATCTTCATAATAATCCAATGGAGTGTAGAAAGTTAAACATATTTAATCAAATCAAGTGACAGATACTAAAAAAATGAAGGAAGAAATAATGAAGAGAACTACTTATAGAACAGTGGCCGAAAGTCACAATAATATATTATTTTTATTTTTATATAAAAAAATCTGTTTGGATACATTCAACATACAAAATATAAGTTCCATTTTTGTGACACATCACATATATGGTCAGTGGATGAACATATAGAGCCATCAATAATATTTGGTATTTGAAGCATTTTTTAATGTTTGGGTCACTTAACAAGTACTACAAAAATGTATAAAAATTAAAATTGTTAAACACAATCAGGTTGCAAGAAAATCCACCAATTACTACTACCAGCTAGGTAACAATTTAACTGTACAGCTAAAAGTTGCTAGGATTTATTCTATCCACACGGCATAGGTGTCTGTGCAAACCAAACGATTTCCTATCAAGTCAGATAAATCTGCACAGATGTATCATTGCGTGTGTAGCTGACGTAACATTTCCGTGTTACTTTCCTTTTTTATCTAATTAACACTTATTTCAATACGTTACGGTTTTTTAATCTAAGGTCTCTTTTATTATATTTTAATAACTGTGTGAATACGCATTACGAATTACTGCTTCAAGAATATCTTGCATTTTTTTTATAGTTAAAATAGACACCTACCTACTCCACTACTCCACTATTTGTTATTTGCATTTGATTAATTGATTTTTGCCAATAATGAATACTCGTTTATCAGAAATATATTTTTAATATATACTGACTTACCACACTGATACGACATAAACTGTTTGGAACCGCTGACTTTTGTTTAGATGTATTGGCGCACGCCTGTTAGAAAGTCGTTATTCATAAGTTTCTATAAATTATCACCATATCCATTAATTCGTTGGTACTGTACTTGTATTTGTGGGTTATTTTAGAATTTTATTGTCATTTATTAGTATCACAAGCACACTGTCCTTTCACAGAAAGGAAACGTAGCCAAAGAATCCAGAAAAATAAATGACTTCGTTTAATTGTTTGTCACTAATAATATTCTCAATAAAAGGCATATTGTAGTAATGAAAATTAAACTAGAACCGATTATTATCTAAAATTGAACTAGCAGTTTTTCTGTTAACTATAAATGAAAACGGTGGCCATAAATATTGATCTCTTTTTATGTAGTATGTAACTCGGGGATGATTCCAGAGGTTGTCAATAAGTTTTAATAAATTTGATTATTATTAATTTTAAGCGCTGTTTCAACTATTTTGATTATTAAAAATGCTTATTACGCATTCTACTTATCATTAAAAAATCCTCTCCGAATTTGTAAACACTCTGTAGGTATTATTAATGTTTATGAAGTTGTCCTAATAATGACCTGCTGCTTGTAGTATTTACATACATACATACATTTAAAATTTAATCTGATAAATACTTACATACAGATTGAAAAAATGCCTTTTTCTTTAATGTAAGTGTACTAAAATAATATTACAGTTGTCTTTGAAGGTAATAAATATTTTGAGTTTTCAATAGAAATATTTTCGAATTTTCCGGAAAGTGAGAGAACTTTATTGTATCATACAGAAGCATTAATTTCCTAAGAAATAAAAGTTATTTTAAATTAAATCAATTAAGAAAAAATAATTATTAATTCGTGATTTTTTTGTCTAATTTTGATTTTGTAATACATTTAGTTCTGATTAAATATACAGCGCTATCCAAAAAGTTTGCACACTATGGGAAAAAACTGTTTGTATAAATTTAATAAATTCCTTCGATTGTCAATTGTCTCTGCATGTCGTCAAATCAAAATAGCGCCCATCGAACTTCATAAAACGTTTATTATATACGAGGGGCAGACGAAAACTGCAAATTGGCCCAAGAGTAAAGTACCTTAGGGGAAAATGTTATAAAAAGAGAATGTTATTTCCCTTTACTCTCGAGCCGATTTGCAGTCGACAATTTGCATTTTCTTCTGCCCCTCGTACATAGGACATGTTTTATGAGATTGGATGGGCGCTATTTTGATTTGACTATATGCAGAGACAACTGACAACGCAAGGAATTTATTAAATTTATACATAAAGTTTTTTCTCTTATGGTGCGAACTTTTCGGATAGCGCTGTATATATTTCTTTTATACATACATACAAGTAAATTTTGATGAAAAGAAAATTAGAAAACATCCTGTAAAATAGCTTTCAATACGTAAAAAAACTACATGAATATTTTGTCAATATTTCAGTTCCAATGAAAGGTATAAATAGTGTAGATGCGAGTTAATTAACAACTAATGATAATAAATTGGTCATTATTTATTTTCGTAGAAAAGGAAAAACATTATTGAAGCAATTTCAGTCTCAAAATGCATCCAACCGTTGTCCGTTTAACCTTATGGAGCGGTTAGTTCAAGGTTATAGAGATCAAGTAACCTTTCAAATTCTACTCTCACTTGTTACTCCTCACATCAATAAACGATGCTTTTGCATAGCCGTATTTAGGTTTCTGTGTATCCAGCTGTCTGAACTGTTAGATTGTAATCGACTCACACGATATAACTGTAATTTTAATGGTTTATTAAGATAGTTAAGAAGGAATTTTCCAAGACAGAATACAACTACATTGAGCTTTTGACTAGTCATATTCGACTAGATTCTCTAGAAAGATACTACTTTTTTTTTGTTAATTGTTGCTTTATTTCTTTTTTTATTACTTAATTCAATCAAGAGAACTATTATTAGTTTATTTTTTATATGTGTAGTTCATTATAGTGACCAGTTAGCAACAGATAGAAAAAATGAATTATATTTTCAACCAGAAAAAATATAACAATAATATATAAAAAATATCTGTACGGTTTCAAAAGTGTTCCTATTTTCAAAGTCAATTCTATTATGATTATATAAATAAACAATATCCACACTAAATTCACCACATCACATAAGTAGGTATGTATATAGGGTTTATAAATAGGTGCAATTTTGATTAAAAAATTGTTTATCTACATCTGAGTACATTACAATTTCTTAGGAAGCAGTTAAGCGTAATTGTTACTAAATGTACTAAATTTAAATCATATTTTGAAAATTACTTAGTTTTCCATAAATTCTATACCTTGCAATTCTAGATCACTGTCTTTAGGTGTATGCAAATCAAAAACCAAACAAAAAAACAGTATACATTTGTCTCGCAAAATACCTATTGAAATCAATTTCGTTAAATTCGCAACAAATAGCAACGCTTTCTTAACAAATATTAGAAACTATTATAAACCCACGGACTTTTTAAAATTTAGTAACACAAGGTCAATAAGAGCGTACTTGTGATCGAAAGTTTAATAGACTTTCTACGACAAATATTGTCTTGCTTGTTTCAACCATACTTCCCTTATTGCATAAACAAAATCAAAATAAATTTCATCCTTATATTATCTATAGGGCGTCCCGGAAATAAGTGTCGACATTTTGACAACTATTTAATTCCTTAAACTCGAAATTAAACTTACATTTTTCTCCGGTATTGTATTGTATTTATTAAAATCGCGCTAATAAACTACCTATGTAATAAAGAAATTTAAGAAAATATATTATTTTTAATTTAAGAGGTGCTCAAAAGAGAATGTAACAAAAGTTCTTGCTTTTGATAAATTAAATGAGTGATTCAACTTTTGACACTTAATTCTTTGAGATACAGTGTATACATATCTACCTTATTAAAATAAGTTATACCAATCAACATTAAATCATTTAAAAATAACATACTTTAACAAATGTGATGTGAAACAAAATAAGACAGTTTTTGTAAGAATTTCACGTTAAATTACCTAATTAATTAGTGATTTTCAAGTCAATTTAACATTTGGCTATGCCCAATTAATTTATCTATATTGCGACAGAAACAAAGTACAATCATATCAAATTATATAATTCAAAGGAATTTTTAATAATTAAAAAATATATATTTACGTATAATTTATTCATTGCTGATTAACTTTACTTATACTTAACAAAATTAACTTAAGGACTAGTTGGTTAGTGAACATTCTTTGACTATACTAATCGTAAATGCAAAAAAAAAAACAACCAATATATGGTTGAAGAACGGAGTAAGTGATATTGTAAGCTTTACTACAGCAATCAATGGAAAAAGCAATTTATCTTACTGTAGTTTATGTTATGTTAAAAATACATTTTTAAACTTTTATCTCCATATAGCTCATTTTTCATTTTTAATATGTACCTACTAAAGCTTTCAACTGAAATGTTAAACCAGTAAAAATTCTTCATCTCAATCACACTACGTGAACAAGTGACGCAGAATTAAAATATAACCTTGTCATTGTCAATATCCAAAGAAAAGTAATTCATTAAATTTAAGGATTACTTACTTGATGCAGACGGTTATGTTATTTTTGTATTTTATTACTTCCTTAATTATTATTGCTGATGAATGTGTTCCTCACAGCAACGCAAAAATAAAAAGTGTTTTATTGTGAAAATACTTTTAACTTATTACAGTTAATATATCATTAATTTTTAATGTGCTAGTTCATCTGTTAAATCTAGTTGCAATTTATATACAGTCGATATTTGTTGAGATAGAATTCAGACACTGCCTGAAAATTTCAAGGCATGCACTTCCTGCGGTAAATCGTTAAGTAGCTCCAGTAACAGAACTTTATTGGCTTATTCTTTTATATTTAAAACTATCAAGTGGAAATAATAAATATTTTAGCAACTTCAATCATAATTATATTTTCTTCAAAGCAAGCATATAAAACAGAACAGAATATTCTTTTCCTTTACTCCAGCATTATTGTTTTGTATTTAAAACAACTATATAGTTCTAAGGGCAGGCAGACACACCTCTTCCAATACACTGCACTCTGACTAAACTGAATGTTAGTAGCTTATCAATTACTTCACGGTAACTATGACATATTTCTGAAATTTAAGTATTTCATAAAAGAGTACCTTAAGTTTTTGAAAATTTGAGGTGAAGATATTTTTTAGGTAAGGTATTGACACTGCTTAATAGATTGTCTCTGATAACGACAGCATAGCTCTTCCTTAAATTAACAAGAAGTTCAAATATAAATATAATATTTCTTTTGAAATGTTATGGGAATTTTTCGTGAAATATGAGTGGACCATTTAAGAGACACACTGAGAAAGTAACCCTTGTAATTGTACCTATAGGATAGTGACTGAATAATATTTTTCAACATTTTATTGACTTTTTCATTTAGATCTGGTTCTAGATCGACTTATTATTATCTTTATTACCAATATTTTCAAAATCCAGCTTAGCAATTCCTTACTCATTTCATTTTTTGATAATAATTAATGAAACTGTAGTAAGATTAATTTTATTTATTTATTTTTTTTTTCAGGTGTAAACATAGCTTTTAGGAAACCCGCCAACCAGTCCACCACTGTGAGAGGCGGCACCGCCCTGAACGCCAACGACGGCGAAAAAAGTACAAGCCACGACGGCAAAAGGTGTTCAGAAACGCAGAAAGAGGCCAGCCCATGGTGGCAGGTGGACCTCTTGAGGCCGTACGCCGTGAAAGTGGTGAGAGTTACCACCAGGGGTTGTTGCGGGCATCAACCCCTGCAGGATTTGGAGATCAGAGTGGGAAATAGCAGCAGCGATCTTCAGAGGAACCCGCTATGCGCTTGGTTTCCTGGGACTATAGGTAAGTAATTACATAATATTTTAAATAGTTTATTAAGCTTACAAAATTATGTATACCAAAAATGAAACTTCGTATTCTTTGGAGAACATAAGACAGTAGTAATTTGTAGAAAATTGAAAAACGAATCCGAAAATGTCATGATTGTTACCGTAAAGCAGTGGTATACTATTTTATTTAGAAAAATATGCCACCGATACTCTGTATCTCCGCCAATGGAGCTCGTAAATTTTAGAAAAAGGCCTCAGACTTTGGACAATGTTTACATAAAAACATGTGCTAATTTCAAATTATTTCACTTACTAGTTTTTAAATTATTTAATATATATTTTTTGAAGTTTAACACCCTGTATCTTTTTAATGAAGTGTCCTAGATAAAAACTTTATAGGAAAGACCCCTTAAAATTCACCAAAGAATACGAGGTTTCGTATTTGGTCACCATTTGTGAATCACCCTGTATTTCTTGTTTATATGTATTTAATCATATCAATCAATTACACCTAAGTTTTACATTCCCTTCATTTCCATATAAACGTTTTTAACTATAAAAATATAACCTGTCGTAATGTACAGGGTGTTTCGCAAGGAAACGCACACAAGTTAAGCGACAAAAAGGTAAAAATAAGGAAAAGAGGTTTGTATAAACTTTGATCCAAAAACGTCTTCAAATTTTTTGAAAAAATAAATTATTTTTTGAAAATACATATTTCAGGAGTAATACTTACATTTAGTACTTACAAAACCATGTTCGTAATTATGGCTTTCAATTGTCAGTGCCGTAGATATGTGGGTCAGACCATTTCGTGAAGCTTAATTTAAATTTTGAATTAATATATCGACACAGAAATAGTAAATCTGAAAGAAGTTAATAACAAAAATAACAAATACACTTCAAACAATATTTAAACATTGTTACAGCAAGAATAAATTTAAAAAACAACATAATCCTTAAAAAGTCGTGTTCTATAAACTTTTCAGTCTGATTGTAGACACTCCGAAAGTTAACGTGAATCCAAAATTTTCTGTTGTTTTTTTAAAATTTAACAATGTTTGACGAGGTTTACATATTTCTTATGTTTGTTATTATTTTTGTATATCCACCTTGTCCTGATTTAGTTTTCCTAAAACTTTAGTAAAAAAATTAGATTATTCAATCATTCCGCTGCAATTCACTCCAAAATCTAAGAAATACGAAAATTTCCCAAGAGTAATTTATTTTCGGAAATATTCCGCTTTAATATAGTATGCAGAATTACTTTTTGAGAGTCATAGGTGTTGAAGTTGCGTTTCACAGAAGGGACTGACCCCACCATATCTAGTTACTGGGCATTGAAATAAATGCAGAATGACTAGTACTAAATGTAGTCTCATAAAATTTTTTGAATTTATGAAGCTAAAGTTACACTTTCTTGAAATATATATCGAAAATGGTGTGATAGTGGACCAAGATTTATATAAACTCTTTTCTTACCTTTATCCCTTAAAAGTTTGTGGCACTTCTTCGCAGTACAGCCTGTATATTACTGGGGAAAAATAACACATTGAAAATTTTGGTCATTTTTTATTTTTACTAAAATGAAAATTAAAAATGTAATTCTGAAAATTGCAGATACATATATAAAATATTTCACAAACAATTTAGTTCCACAATTCAATAATTTCTATACAGGGTCGAAAAGTCCCCATGGTTTATTTCTATGACTTTCTTTATCGCTCTCACGTAACGGCCGATGAACCATGGGGACTTTCCGACCCTGTATATAGAATCAGTGGGAGTACTTTAATAAGAGCTATTCGTAAAAGAAATAGTTAGGTATGGGTAAAATACAGATTCAAGGGATATAATTTTGTATTCAAGAATACAACATCAACAAATTCGGGTTTAGTTCAAAACTTACTTAAAAACATTAGTCAGTATATATTCAATATTCAGTATTCAGTATTCAGTATTCATTCAGTATTCAGTCAGTAAATATTTCTATCTTTTTAGAAAACTAGAAATCAAAAGTTGGTTTAATATTACGAAATTTCCATATTAGTAGAACCATATTAATTAAAATGGAAGATATTTTTGGCAATAAATTGATAATGTTAAATTATTTTTTACGTGTACATTAATTAAATCAATTTATCTAAAAAATTTATTTAAAGTTAACCAGTGTCAATTTTATGAGTTTGATGTTTTGCTTGGTCGATTGTGTGGCACATGTTTTTATGGCAGTCAGTAGCATTGTTTATCATGAGCATAGAGCTTGACTACAGATTTAACCTATTTCTGCTACTACAACGCGTATTACCGCTTACTAGCATAATACCTATTACTACTGTTTATTTATTTGATTGTCGCCACAAAGTTTCCGGTGTCTAGTAATTTGTGATCGCTTGACAAAAACTTTAATTGCTATTTTTTCGAAAACCAATAATTATCTCTACAGCCAAATAAAAATGTACGGAACTGAATTAACCTTCTCCGAATTGTCTCGGCATCTTTATAATAAAAAGATATACAAATTGAAATTCAGTACAGGTACACACATGTATGTGTAGATAGGTACCTAATAGACTTTGCTAACACAAAATCTCTGAATAGAGTACGATTATCTAATTTTTAACGAACCGTTTATATTTAAATATGTCAAGGACGAGAAGAGTATGTTGATGCGCGATTAAAAGTCTTCACACGCTAACCTAATTACTTAGAAATTCTAATTATATATTGCGCCTTCATTAGCATGTGAGCTATGTTAATTGAAAAACCATGTGAAAATCCTCTTGTTTTTATTGCTTTTTTTACGAGGAACATTCAGGTTTCTAAAACTAATGCCTCAGATTAGATAGTAAAAACTGTTGATCCAGTTCTTGGTCGTCGTGTAATGTTTACTTTGTGACTGATTAAAACTGAACGCGGATGACATTAATCAGTGAAACGGGTAAAAAACAGTTTGATGTATACGTGTAATTACACACTTTAACGTATATTCAAAAGTAATGGTTAAGTAATCATTCTCTTTTTTAGTACACTAACACTACCTACTCACTACTCTCGCCATTACTGTATCGTTGTTTCTTGAATCAGGGAAAACAGTTCATTTGTCTTTGTCTAGGTTATCTTTTTCTATCTATTCTCATCAGAGAAACCATAAAATCTGATATTTCAGACAGCAAATATGGTAGGAGTGGCAAAGTATAGCCAAGACGTATGTTTCACAAAAAGCTCTCAGTCGTCGGCAAATACCAGATTCGCAACAGACGACACCTCTGGAAGCCGATACTGTCCTCAAAATAGGCGCTGACGATGCGCTGCAGCAATAAAAAATTCACCTCAGTTTCGGATTTTGGAAAGTAAAAACTCCGAACTACTCCATACTACTGTTTATTTATTTCATTGTTGCCCTAAAGTTTCCGATATCTAATCATTAGCAACTTAATTTTAAATCTAATTGAATATACAGTATGTCTCACTAAGTTGGAACCATTATGGAAAATTTTTTTTATTATTAAATTTAGGAAAAAAAGTTATTCTTCATAAAAAGTTCTGCATGTCCTAAAATATAAAATACAATCATTAGATATTAAATTTTTTCAGTCTTATACGCGGTTTGTCAAAAAATATGAATTTTACTCAAGAATAAGGTATATTTGACAATATCGAAAATTGTTATAAAGAAAAGTTGATCAAAATAAAAAACTACGTTCAAATATGGACCTACATCCATTTATATTAAAAAAATTGTTTTTTCTTTTTTTGACGATTGAAAACGATTGATTGAAGATGACGATTTTCAACGGCCCATTTCCGGGTTAACAATTAGTAAAAAGTAACAAAACCTAATTTTTCAATGTAAATGGATGTAATTGCATATTTGAACGTAGTTTTTAGTTCTGATCAATTTTTCTTTATAACAATTTTCGATATTGTTAAATATAAAGCTACTTTCTTGAGTAAAATTCATATTTTTTGACAAACCGCGTATACGACTGAAAAAATTTAATATCTGATGATTGTATTTTAGATTTTAGAACAAGCGGAACTTTTTATGAAGAATAACTTTTCCTAAAATTAATAATAAAAAAGTATTTCATGTGGTTCCAACTTAGTGAGACATACTGTATATATTTCTAATTTTTAACTGTTCTAAACAAGGTCATTCCTTCTTGTCGAATGCCTTCTTCCTCAATATTTCTGTCGGTCTCTACTTCATAATATCTTCCAGTAGTAACAGAATTATAATTTGTTTCATAATTTGATGTTAGTAATCATAGCAACAAAATATTCAAGTAGGCTTCTATTGTCCAGTTCACCTTTTTTTAAAATGTGTCAATTCCAGAGACGGTACGATATATTTTTTATTCAGTAACTGTTACAATGTTTTTATTGAACTTAGCAAATAACAGAACAGATATCTATACCAATACTTTTTTGAAGATGTTACGAAGTGGTTTCTTCTTCAGTGAATGTTGCAAGTTCTTCAAACGATTTAATTAACTCCATAACCATTATCCATAGTCTACATTTATAATGGCATGGTTTGTAGTTATTACACGGTATTTTCCTATTCATCGAATCCAGTGAAATGTAACAGGCATTTTTCAACGATTTAACAGTTTTTTCTTACGTGCTGTTATAGTTAAAAGCAACCAGAACAATCGATCACGTATACTTTTGTATGATTTTATAGAAATTACTCGAGTTACCATGGCGAAACCGCTTTGCGCTTCGTTGGCCAAAGAATCGTAATAATTGTGTTCTTCCTGTCTGACAGTTATACGGGACGTTTTGTGAATCCGCGTTGTAATTTCAGGAAGTTGTTGCTCGGATTATTTTGGACGGAAAAGTCTCGGTCAAGTAGGGCTTTAAAATCGTTAGTTTTAAGAACACAGTATGTAGAAACTAAAAAAAGTATTCAATCAAATATATTTGCACACTCAGCTTTGTCAGTTTTGTGTAAAAAATCAGATTACCGTCCTCCCTCACACTCCAGTGCTGAAAGAAGGAAACAAGGACTAATAATGTATAACATTAATAATGAAGTTTTAAAAAATAAAGTTCAGTTATTTTATGAACATAGCTCGTATATTTAATCAACGTTTGGACGAATCAGCCACTGTTTGTCACTGCCAAGTGAAAATTTTCCCTCACAGTCGAACCAGTTCCTAGGAATTAGATCATAACATTAAAGTGAAACCCACAAAAATCGATTTACCTCTAAGCGCGACTATTTTAACGGTTAATATTTACTAACCAATAACAAAATGGAATCACTGGGTTGTTGCAGGCCTATTATAGGTACTTCTTAAAAATATGTAACTATACGTCCCATTTCAGTCAACAATTCTGTAATGAATTTGATTATGAGAGCCTGAAATCGATTAGTAGGTAGCAAAATAAAGGACAAAACTGCACGAAATATTGATTTGATTATAAGCAGACATATTTTTTATCCAATTTTATTCTTTCCTTGCGTTATATTTTGAGAAGAATTAATTAATTCATTTCTACCAGCTCTCTGATTTGTTTCTTTACATACCTACAGTTATTATATTATTGTTATTCATTCAGAGAAGGGAGTATTTTGACAAAAAAAAAACAAATAGTATTTTAAATACAAAATAGTATTTTGTATTTTTTAATTAAAATACATTCGTTATAATCCCAAAATTATTTTGTATTTTAAACACTTTACTAAAGTATTTTGTATTTTAAAAAAGTATTTAAAATCTTCTAAAAGTAATTTGAATACCCTTGAGTATTTAAATTAGTCGAAGTATTTAAAATTCCCAAAATAACTACCAAAAACAAATACTTTTTGCCTGTTACGACTGACGACTGGTACAACACGTGATAAAAAAAATTACGCACCTGCACTGTGCGTTGTGTTATTGCTATTCTCTACTACCTTTTATGTCACTATCATCACTAGTAGTCAATTATCAAAATTTAAAATTAATTTCTTTTATCATTAGTGGTCTATTCGAAGAAAATCTAATAAAAAATTATGAGCGAGTTAAATATTCTGCATCTCAGTAGTCCAAATGAAATTGATTGTTTCCAGACTTATGTTTAGTTTTTTTTTTAATTTTTTGATGATCTTGAAACGGGGCTTACCTTGCACATACAAGACATTTTTTTAAGTCACATCTAAAGAGTTTCAGATTTAATATTTCGCAAAAATATTTTAAATACCGTCAATGAATATTTTCAATATATTTAATATTCTACATACTATTCTATAAAATACTATTTTAAATAGTCAGTAATTTATATTTAAAATATTTATTTTGTTTTTAAGTATTTTAAAATACCTTTGTACTAGTATTTTGTAATTTTTACAATTTTAAATACATTTTGAAAGTATTTTGCCCAGATCTGTTGTTATTGAAGGGACATAGTACAGTCATTGAAGCGTTTCACCTCCGAATTCTTTGAAACTGAACCGATCGACTTGAAATTTGGCAGATAGTTAGAGAAAAGGTCAATGAACATTAGTGACATAGCGCCTATTGACGCTTCCACCCTGTTGTGGGTTGACACCCCTTCTCGGGGGTGGAATTTTTTTCAAAAATAACGCTGGAAATCGATAGAGAATCAAATTTTGAGCAAAAAATATTCAAAGAATTTTTTCGAGAAATCAATAGTTTTTTAGTTATTCACGATTGAAAACTTGGAATTTTGAGTGAGAAAAGAAACACTTTTTTTAAAGTATTTTTCGCAAATAACTCAAACCCTACGCATTTTTTAAATTAAGTGTAATGGACAAGCACGTAGCTTATAAATAAACAAAGAAAATCGTTTTTTAAAAAGTGTTGTACGTCCTATACAAAGCGAAATATGGTTAGTGGAAGGGGACTTGTTTTGTGGGAATACTCGAATCTATGTATTCAACGTCAAATAAGGGAAAAAGGATTAATTTTACGTGTATAACGCTCCTGGAGTTTTTTGTAGTACTCAAAAAGACCTTCAAAATGGGCACTTATAAAAGTTAATTAGAGCAAAATTGAAGAAGTTATCGTCAAAAACAGATCATCAGGGTTGCTCATATTTTTTAAGGAAAAATGAGCAGTAAACGCTGTACCATTTCCATCAGAATGAAAATTAATCGTAGACCCTTTAAAATTAGTTTTATTTTAGTGTTTTTCATACGATCCTGCAGATAGACCGGTTTAGAATGCATATTTTTCAGATAATGTACGGTAAAAGTTGAAAACGTATTGCCTTATTTATATAATAACTCTGAAACTATGAAAGATACGTAAAAAATGATAGACAACAAAAATATAGCTTTTTTTCTACAAATATTTTGCTTTTTATTCCTATAGCGTAAAAAATAAAAGATATCGCCGCTTGAAGTATCCATTTTTAGTAAAAATGCGTCTCGAGCCTTTCGATCCTTTCCCTTTAAAAACTGAAGGACTTAAAAGGTTTTATATGCAAATGATCTTACAGCTCTTGAAATTATCTTTAAAATGCTTTTTCTAGGATACTATAGCTTCAAAATTAACCGAGTTATGGTAAAAAAACCAATGACAGTTTTTCGGGGCAAAATAGGCTTTCTCATTTTTATATATTATATATCTATTTTATTATACAAATAAAATAAGTAAAAAAATTTAGTGTGATTATTTATATGCAGCGTAGCAATTTTTTTATGATTGAGTATATTTAAAAATCGATTATAATAAAAATATTTTACGTTAATATTGGTAAAAGGGTAGTTTATAAGAGTTGAAAATGGCAAAAGTAAAATATTCTTTCATAAACAATATAAGGGATTTTTTATTTTAAATTATTGCACAATTATAGCATTCCAAGATTTAAAACGTTGAAAAGTGTTATGAGATACAAATTCTTTCATAAGTAATGAGGGAATTTTTATTTTAAATAATATTGCACCGTTAAAGCATTTCAATCTTTTAAAATGTAATTTTTTATAATTTTTGTCAATACAGGGGTGGTTTTTAAGGGTTGAAAGGGAAAAATTCTTTTATTAGCTATAAGGAAACTTTTACTTTAAATAATTGCATAATTTATTCATTCCAAATCTTTAAAAAGTAATTTTTTATCATTATTTTTTGCATAGGGGTAATTTTTAAGGGTTAAATAAAGGGTCGAAATGATCAAATATATCATAAAACATATTTGAGAACATGGAACATTATTTAATCTTTATGGTTGATAAGATTTTTATCAATAAAATGCTTAAAACTTAATTTTTTCAATTTTTTCACCTAAGGGTAGTTTTTACCCCTAAAAAACAAAAAGCGTAAGATGAGCCTTATTCTAAATGTTCATGCAAATTCATGCAGTTTCAAAGAATTCGGAGGTTACAGCTGATTTTCAATTTCAATGACTAACAAGGACAATTATTGTTGAAAACAATTATTACTTAGTAAGTTGCTTTAACATTCGACTACAAACTGAGATTTGCTGAAGACATTAAAAATGTCGCCTGATGGCGCGACTAAATGCACTCCTGATATCGATTTTTTTTTTGCTATAAAGAACATTATTACAGACCAGCTTTAACAACGTTTCCGTTAAGTTCAATGATTTTCTTTTTCCAGACGAAGGAGTGACGAAGACGTTCACTTGCGCACGTGCCTTGACGGGCCAGTATGTGTTTTTACAGTTGGTCGGCGTGGAGGGCTCATTATCCTTGTGTGAAGTAGAAGTTTTCACCACAGACGGTAAGTTACTCAGCCTAGCGTAATCATAGGGAAACGTTTGAAATAATATGTTTTCAATCCGTACTTATCGCGGACGGAAGGAAAAATTGGTATGTAATTTGCTACGATGGATCAGTTAACACGTTCGTAATGTCAGACGTTGGATTTCTCTCTCGTGTATGCATTTGCATAACTTAAAACTGCTGTTAAAACAAAGCCAGTACCTAACAATTAAACTACCAGTGCCAGTAATAATCGTAATACCTACTGTCATTAAACTATCGAATAGATTACTAAAAAAGCTTGAATGTTATTTGAACTTTCCTCCAAATTTTTTCAACAAAAACTTTATATCTAGTACTACTACTACTACTTAGAATTGTTTCAAAGAGGATTTTGAAGGCTAAAAAAAAATTAACAGGCAAGGAAAAAACAAAAATTACCCGATATTAACAATTAACAAATCGAGTTTCAAATTAGAAAAACTTCCACCAACTGAAGCAGCAGCTGCATAACACTCATATAGAATTTATTATCAACTGATTGGGTTTTTCAACAACGAGTCCGATAATAACAAGGCTAAGCAATCGAGCTGGAGTGAAGATGTTAGGGAGACTTGTGCCTAAATTTATTTCAGACAGTTTAGAATTCCAGAAAAATTGTAAAAAAGTATTAGCTACAGCTGTGAAAGTGGTTGTAATAAACAAATATATGGCTGCCGAAAACACGGCTTAAAATGTACTAATTTGTGCATTAATTATTGCGATGACAAAACTGCTCAAATAGAGATAAAGAAATATTTGAAGACGAAAGTGATATGGAAGTTATTGAAGAGCCAGCAAGTTGTAGTATTGAAAATGAAGAGCTCGAAGTCGATGATGATCTCGAAGATCCTTCAGAAAGTAGAAGTTGTTTTGATGAAGAAGATACATACGTAATCGTGAAAAAGGTCTACAATTTACTGCAATGTTATATTTTTTCACACATTTTGTAATACTTTTTATTTCTGTAAAGCAAAGCAAGTCACAATTTGTAAATAAAAAATCAATGAAGTGTTATAAATTAATATACCGGGTGATTCAGTTTGATATTCGCGGCCTCGTATCTCTTTTGTTTTATCAGATAGCTATAACAAACCCTATATATTTTTAAATCGCCGCTCAAACTCTATCAAATGACATTGTTAGATCGTCTCCATGGTAACATATGTCAAAATTGCTATAGTCAACGGGTTTTGTTCAAATGGCACACTATATATTTTTTTATCAATTCTGAAAGATATTTTTTTTCTGCATTCAGCTATATAAAGAAGTCTATAGTCTCATTAGAAATATTGCTAGAAAAACAGCAAAAAATATGAGCCCTACTTTCAGTAGCTTTATTCTGAAAAATTATAGCCAGCTGCAGAAACAACTGAATTTTGACGTTTCTAAATAACGGTTTTTCAAAATAACTGTCATTTTGTACCTACCTATTCTATCTATTACTAATTATTATTACTATAACATGAATACTTATAGTAACCAAGAAAAACTAGATATGATTTTAATTTATGGATAGTTGTGAAAGAACGCTAAAGCTGCCAGGCATTTATATCAACATCGTTTTCCACAGAGACAACTTTCATCAGATAAAATTTTCGGAAAGTTAGCCAGGAATTTGGCAGCAGATGGTTTTCAAAAGAAAAGAAGAGTTTTTAAACCCAGAAGGGTACGAGATGAAGAGCATTCGATAAAGATGTTAAATAGCCTGCTATAGATCTCCGGATCTCATTCCTACAGATTTCTTTCTTTGGCCTTACCTAAAATAAAAAGTTTATTCTTCGCCTTTAAATTATATTGATTAACAGAATAAGAGTAGAATTTCGGAGATTAAATGAAGAAACACTAGAATGTGTTTGTAGAGAGGGATAAAATATCGATAAATCGATAAAAGTACATTTTTCGTGGAAAATTTTGTATCTTTTTTGGAAAACTGTTAATATCTCGAAAACTACTTGTTTTCCAGTTTCCAAAAAATCATGCTTATTTAGGGTAAAAAAAGTACACTTTCACAAAGTTTCATGCAAATTGCATTATTTTTGAGAGAAAAAAAATAAAAACAAAAAAAATTGGTTTTCCGCAATTTTCTCTTAAAATTTGAGGTTATATTGAAAAATATCCCGTATAAAAGTTTTTCATTGTTTTATTATCTACAACTTTTGTGTAGAAGACTTTACGCTAGGAGGTCATATTTCGCCAAAAATCGCAAAAATTCATTTTCAACCCTTAAACATCCATTTCACAATTTCCCTTTATCTCGAGTTTAATTTTTGTTTTTTCTATTACTTATTACTTAAACTAAATTTTTCCATTAGTCCTCGCCTGTTATTATTATTATTTTTTAATAAGGTATTGGTTATTGGTACTAGCCTAACTAGGGTAGGGGGTAACTAAAGACTGTGTTCACTAGGAGTATTTGATATAAAAGCTCTTCTGTTTTCCTCACTGTTTCCATTTTATGAAATTTATTAATGCAATATAAACGTTTATTAGCCATTAACTATGGTTAAAAAAACATTTCCCTTCTTTTCATTTAGCTCAGGAACCTTACCGATAACCTTAACTGGTAAACTAATATTTCTGCAAATAGTATTAGTACATAAGAACTATAATATACAGGGTAGCCCATCGAAAACGTACTGCAAGGCATTACAGGGTAGTAAAGAACTTTTCGGCAAAATCCAAAAACAGGTCAAATTTGTTTCTGAGGGACAACTTTTGGCTCAAAAAGCATACCAAAATCTGCAACCCCCTAAATGGGGGTGCTATCCCCTAAATTTTTTCAAATGGGAATGGGGGTCAAGTGGGGGGTCATTAGAAAGGGCTTTTAATTCTCTATACATCGATTCTTACTTTTTGAAAATCGATTCATTATTTTAGAAAATATGCAGCTTTGAAAATACGAACAATATTTTTGACGAGAAATGCGAAAATCGATTTAATTTTACTTCAAAACTTACGGTATTAGTCAAGTAAATGCTGAAAATGTTGTCCGCCAACTTGCATACAATGATACAGGTTGTCTTCAAACCGTTGTCGAACATTCTGGAGCACTTGCGGTGTTACTTCGCGACATACATTAATGATTCGTCCTCGCAGATCTTCCAAGGTATCAGGTGGAGTGCTGTAAACTTTGCTTTTAATGTGCCCCCAGAGAAAGAAATCTAAAGGATTTAAGTCGGGTGACCGAGGGGGCCACTCAATTGCACCTCTTCGTCCTATCCAGCGTCCTGGAAACGTCTCATTTAGGTAATTGCGCACATTGAGCGAGTAATGTGGAGGAGCTCCGTCTTGCTGGAAAATCAGTTCGTGTTCATTGTAAGCAGGGTCGTCCTCTATGATATTTGTTAGAGCTGGGTCGATGACATTTTGTAGTAAATCCAAGTACATATCGCCTGTCAAATTTCCAGGAAGGAAAAAAGGACCTACAATGGAATTTCCAAAAATACCTGCCCATACATTCAACTTCTGGGGGTGTTGGGAGTGTGTCTCATGGAAAATCCTTGGATTGGTATCAGCCCAGTAACGACAATTATGGCGATTCACTAAACCATTCAAGAAGAACGTACACTCGTCCGAAAAACACACATTAAAGAGGAAATTATCGTTTATCGCTCGTTCAGTCATTATTTCGCAAAATTGCAAACGACGATCAAAATCGTCTTCATTTAGCTCTTGCACTAGCCGAATCTTATAAGGATGGAATTTGTATTTTTTTAATATTCGTTGGACACTTGTACGACTCACTCCTGTCGCAGTAGCCAATTGCATTGTACTCAGCGTACTATCCATTGCCACTTGCCCCAATACCGCTATTTCCGTAGGTTCATTTAGTACCGGATTTTCAACCTGCCTCTTTTTGTTATGAACGGAGCCAGTTTCGCGAAATTTGGCCACCAATTCGCGAACAATTTTTCCAGACGCATGTTTCTCAGGATGCCGTTGGTTGAACAGTTCGGCGACCCGATTTCCGCATTCATTGTTTTTGAAAAAAAGCTCAATAATTTCTACTCTTTCTGGAATTGAGTACACCATAATTAATCAATTTAAAAGACTCGGCAGTATTGGTACTCTTCAACTACAAGTCACAAGACAGTTATCTAGCAACTTCTTGTGGCCTATCTAAATACGAAACAAAAAGCGGACAATTTTTTGCTCACCAAAATCAGGCTAAAGAATTCGCAAATCAGAAAAAAAACAGCGAATTCTTTTGAAGGAATTTACCAAGCTAATACCGTAAGTTTTGAAGTAAAATTAAATCGATTTTCGCATTTCTCGTCAAAAATATTGTTCGTATTTTCAAAGCTGCATATTTTCTAAAATAATGGATCGATTTTCAAAAAGTAAGAATCGATGTATAGAGAATTAAAAGCCCTTTCTAATGACCCCCCACTTGACCCCCATTCCCATTTAAAAAAATTTGGGGGATGGCACCCCCACTTAGGGGGTTGAAGATTTTGCTATGCTTTTTGCGCCAAAAGTTGTCCCCCTCAGAAGCAAACTTTACCTGTATTTGGATTTTGCCGAAAAAAAGTTCATTACTACCCTGTAATGCCTTGCGGTACGTTTTCGATGGGCTACCCTTTATATTTATTAAGTAGTTTTCTACTGCACAAGGAAATCATCGCATTTATTAATTTCAATATGAAAAAAAATCGTTTAATACAAATGAAAATTAATATAACTTTCGATTTTTTGCGTCTGATAATTTCTATATTACATAAAATAAGAGTATATAAAGAAGAAATTAATGTACAAACGAATGAATGAATTGAAATCGGAGTAGAAATGAATAAGCACACAAACGAATATGTAAATAATATTGCTTTTAATCTGAACAAAGTACAATAAGAAGAGAGCGATGTGTCTCGTAGGAATTCTAATCTGACGACCTGGCAACTATCCCGGAAATTCTATAACCAAAAATACTTACACAATTAGTTATAGTTTACTGAAAAATACGGATTATTTTTTCTCTTT